CCAGGAAGGGCTGGCCAGGGTCATCCCAGGGCAGGAGCAGAAGGCAGAGATGGCGGAAGGAGGCAAAAGAGCATTCCAGCATCCCCAGCCAGCTACGGACCTCTCCCTCTGGAGTGGGAAGACTGGACGACAGGCTGTAGGAAACCACTGCTCCTCCCGGGCTGCACCTGGAAAACTTTGCCACTCCTCCCCGGGCATGACGGGCTCAAGGTCAGCTTTCCAGGGGAAGGGAAGAGCAAAGAGAGTTGGCCCTTCTTGGACAACTCTACATGGTACCGATGTATCGATTTAGTCTATAAAGACAAGCCTGATTAGGCAATTTGAGCCTTGTTAGCTAGACACACAGACACGTAAAAATGATGTCATGGGCTGAGCTGTGCCCAGCTCTGACAGAATACCTTGACTCATGCTACTCTCCATAGCAGCCACGTGAGCTTCTACAGCATCTGGTGCTCCCACTGCGCATCAAGACCTGACATGCTGCCAAGAACAGGTCCTTCGTTGCTGGATGCCTGCCGCGAAGGGGTTATGAAATTCTACGACGGCATTAGATGCTCTCAGTAAAGACTGATTGATTAAAGACAAGCTCAGCAGCAAATCAAAGTCTGCAGTGACTGTCACTACAGTCAACAAACTTCAGCAAATCACAGTCAGTGGTGCTGGAAGGGACCAACAGGCATCGCCTGTGCCATTTCCTTTCTGGGATCAACCTGCCCTGAGGAGGATCTGTCTAACCTGCTCTGAGAGCCAAGAGTCGGCAACCCTTCCCGTGCTCACCTAGCCTAATGCTGAGAAATTGTTTCATAACATCTGCGCTGATTCTCCCTTTTTCTTCAGGGACCGCTGAGCAAGCACAGGACGGACTTCCATGTGAGCTGACGGTGCTCAGGAGGAGAGCATTTAGCCAGAACACCCTCCCCCTCGAAAAGGGTCACCTCTCCACGGCCATAGCTCCATGGTCATCCTCATTTATTGTAAGTCATCTCTGCTGCCAAAAGGGGGTATTGCCACTTGCCTGGCCTGTCCCTGCCCATTTGCTTGTGCTGGCACAGGTGTCCATGGGCCAACACAGGGAAGTTGTCCATTCAAAGGCCAACTAAGCAACCCACGGAGTTTCCCTCAGACTGGTTCCCACTCTAGCTCACCACAGGCCTTTCCCAGCCAGAGCAAGAGGGGACTGACAATGAGTGGCCACGACCAGCGCTTGAGGCAAACCCCAGAGATGGCTGATGACGACTTGGCGCTAACCTAGACATGGGGTGGACGTACCCATGCCTGCTGCCCAAGCTCTTCTCTTCCTCTCCTCCGTTCACACCACTTCACCTTCCTCCTCCCCTCCATGGCTTTTTTACCCACCTCTCAATTCTCCCCTGCACAACCTGCTCATTCCTTCACCCCCATCTCCCTTGGCCTTCTCTACTTTCCCATTTTCATTACTTGCTCCACCACACTTCCAAGATCTTCCGGATTTTGCTAAAAATCACCATGTTGTCCTTGCTTCCTGATACATACTCTCTTATCCAGGCATACATTCCCATGTGTAAGGAGCAGTTTGAGGTGGCAAGAAGTGCAGGAGTCAACCCATCCAGACCTGCTGATGCCTCGTGTGCCATGCTCCCCGTGGAGCTGGTCTCCACACACACGCTACATCTGCAGTTGGGCTTGGTGCAGTCGGTCCCAGGAAAGTGTGGATGTTTAAGGGTGGGATGCAGCATTTGATGGGTTGGCCCTATGAGGATGCTGAAACACTGCACCGTGGTCAAGAAGGAGACAGGGTGATGGGGAGGGAGGGAATCAGGCCCTCACTTTCAGTGTCCGGTGCCAAAGCCCCAGTTTTGATGGGTTTTACCACCTTGAGTCATTTATTTTAGTGGAGTAATGAAGTCATGTGTAAATGTTAGATTTAGCTTTCGGCTGTCAGCTGTTCCCTCTTAAAAAAAATAAGGAAAAAGAGAGACAGAGCAGGCGAGGGGAGGGGTGAGAAAGAGAGAGAGGCTTTCTGGTGCAGGCTGGTAATAAATTATAGGAGCAGTTCTTAGGCTGCCAATTTAACACCATAAATCAAGCCCTGGGTATTACCCAAGTGCTCCCTGCGGAGGGCTGTCGGGTCAGCACGACCACCTTTTCAAATACTGGAAATGAAATCTTCCTAAATGCTGACCAACCTCATCCCTGCCAGAAACGGTAATTTATTGCCTTATTAAAGGGCAGGAATCGGGAGGGGACAGCAGGGGAGCGCGCTAGGGGGGATGCCTGTGGCCAGACCCCGAGCTCTCAGCCCCAAAAGGGATGGAGCAACCCCCCTCCCTTCGTCCCCCAGCCCGGATGGGGGGTGCCCGGCGTTGGGGTGAGCCAGGGTGCCCTCCCACCTGCCACGGGCCCACCGCAGGGGACGTTGTTTTCAAGTTGGCGCCAACCAGGGACTGATTTTGGTCTCCACTCAAGTGACGGATTTTGGAGGTCACAGCCGCAGTCATAAATGATGAAGAGGGGGATTTAAAAATAGTGACAGCTCTAGGCGGCTGCTTCCGTCCGCGGTGCCTCGTGGCAGGGCAGGGGGGAGGAAAGGGGAGCGGGACTGGTATCTGCTGCCGGGGCAGAAGCAGCCCCCAGTGCAAGGGAGTGTGGTGCAGCGATTGCACAGGGGACAGGGTACTGAGGTCCCTGGTTGCCAGAGCCCCAGCTCTGCAGGGACGGGCCCAAGAGCAGGAGATATGTTACCTCCTGCTCTGCCCAGCCCCGGGCGTGCTCCGCAGGGACATTTGTCCCCCAGCCACACAGGGGACACAGGGGACAGCCGTCACTCACCTCGATGACTGGTGTGGGATGAGAGCACATCCAGAGCCAGCAGAACCCTGCCCTATCTCACCTCGGAGGAAGGTGCTAAAGGAGAACAGACCAGCACAAAGAAGCAAAGAAGAAATGATACCTGGGCTGGAGCAAAAGATGAGCTTCCCAGGACTGCTGCCGGGAGAGGGTGGCTGCCTGGCTGCTGCCTTCCCACATGGGGTGATTTTGTCATAAATTCAGATTTTTCCACTCTACTGAGAACTGACCTGGGTCTTTCAGACCCTTGTCTGCAAGGACAGTGAGTCCAGGACTCGATGGCCTCTTATCACAGCCTCCCATCAGTACATTGCATTCCCCCTCGGCACCAGAAGCAGCTGCTCTGGAGACGCACCCCGGCTCCGGCGGCTGTCCCGGCCGCGCGACTTGCTCGAGCAACGGCGAGGCTGGCGCGAGCCCTGGGCTGATGCCACATCCTGACCCTGCCACTCCTGGTAGCCACAAGCAGGGGCACGGAAGGAAGATTTTAACTTCGTTATTTGTCCTGCCTCCTCCTAGAAGCTAGGCTCTGTTTGCAGTGGTCAAAAGAATTGTCCTGAAAACAGAGTAAGAGAAAATCATAGAGAAATCGCCCCGTCGCTGTGTCAGGAAGCACTCCCACTGCACAGATCCAAAGGTCTGAATGCACAGTAGCGTAAACCTTCACTGGGTTAGACAGATTCTGCTGTTTTGTTGGAACAAATTAACTCTGTGAGATTCGCTTGGTGTCTGTAAGAGGAATGGGGGGAGCAGAAAAGGGGTTGTTGTTGCTAAAGGAGACTAGCAGGATGAGGCAAGCCAGGTGCCAAGATGTTGCTGACCACAGAAAGTCCTGGTTTAGGGCCACCTATGAGCTAAGTTTTTAATGTCTCCTTAATGTAAACCGTCTGGTTGGGACATCTGGCTGTCAGTGTGCCTTCTCGCAAGCAGCTGTTTGCAGTAACCTGTGGCTTTCATGGAAACTGGGCTCACGAGGACTCCAGTGTGATGTATTTATTACACGGAGGCAATCAACTTCCCTCTTGTCGCTCAGTTTTATGAGCGAACATTTACCGTGAAGCCGAGGCTCATCTGATAAACATTTCAAGGTACGAAAATGAACGTCCCCCTGGGAAGGAGAACAGTCCGTCAATTAAAATCGTGTTACGAGATGGCCTCCCTTGGCAAAGCCTCACTCGCCTCCTGCTACGTCAGTGCCTCCGTTTCTGTCCAAGCTCCCCGAGCAGCACGGCTGGACGGCAGAGCTCCGCGCTTGTCAAGAGCCTGGCACCGGCTGCCGCGGCATTTATAGATGCTTCCCCTTGGCCGCAAGTCACATATTTCTCAAGTACATAACAGGGGCATACGAGCGCTGCTAGAAGCTCATCTAGCTTGCTGAGGAACACAGACAGCAGCCGAACTGACCACTGACTCCAGATGTAGCTTGCTACAGAGTCGAGCAATATGGGCAATTTAAATGTCACCTTGCAAATGTCACAGCTTGATGCAGGTATCGCGTTAGATAGCATCCTTCAGTAAGTGTGGTGGATCTCAAGAAATGGAGGAAATGAGGATGTGTACAAGAGGCTGATGGTTCCCAGGGATTTAGAGAGAGAGGAACAATGGAAAAGGACAAAGAAGTCTGCAGAGCCATCGAAGGAGGAAGGCAGTGGGAAGGATGAGAGGGTCTCTGTGCCAGAGGCTAAGGAACTACGACCAAGGTCATCTCCGGAGGAGGGGAAGCCCCAGGCCAGCCTGGATCTATGTCCAGGAGGGGTATAAACTGTTGTGAGGAGCTGTCATCCTGGTGTTATGGACAGAACCTCAGCCATGTCCAACAAGCAGATAGGAGCAGGGGGGAGAGAAGGAAAATCTTCTCCAGTTATTCATGGAGTGCAGGACCCCATTCCTCCATCTTCCTCTGCTCCAGCTCCTCAGAGAACAACACATTCGATGAGGACGCTGGATGAACCGTGTCTCTAAAAGCTTCAAAGCAGGTCAAGGCTATTTGAATCCCATAAGAAATCTCAAGATGTCCCAAGGGATACAGCTACTCCTGAGCATTTCTTGCCAAGTGTTTCCCAAGGGGCTGGGTGGCAACCCAGCCTTTGCTGGGACACTGCCAGCCCGCTGGACGCAGTCCATGGACCTGCTCTTCCTGAGCTGCAATCCCTTAGTGTCTTCCATCCCTTTCACTGTACGCCAGGGGTTTGCAGATGCAGCCTCTCTGGAAAGGTTGCTCTTTATACTCCCAGAAACAATTCTCCCCCAGCCCTTCTCAGAGCATGAAATGTTATAGTGAAAATATTTCTGGCACAAAGCTGTATACAGGTAACAGATGAGGTACTGTGCACTGCCTGCCATCCTTGCATGGTGTCAGGGGCACCAGAGGGCTAAAACTTAGGAGGACCTTTCTAGCGCCTACATCAGCAAGGTGAATTGTTCTTTTGGGAGAGAGGGAAGGTGGAAAAGGGAATTTTGGACATATTTACAGTTTGTATGGCAACCATATACCACTGTGAGAATAAATACATGTCAAGTCAGACAGATAGATAAATAAATAGAAGGAAATGTCCATGAAACATACTATTTAGAAGACCCAAGTTTACCGCATCTAGATTGCTCAGTCGTTGACCCCTCTGATGGTATCAAACAGTCAATCTACAGACAAAAATAACAATCTGTTCTCCAGCACCTCAGCTCTGCCCTTCCAGGGGCTCAAAACTGTTTTTGCATACGAATAATCCCCCTGCAGCAGGGTGTCTGCATTGCCACACACATTCCCAACCGCACGAGGAGGCCCAAAGCCACACCTGGGGCGAACGGTCCTCTCCGCAACTGTCCACGGGGAGCATCGTCTAGGTGTGGAGGAAGCTAGCCCAAATGGAGGATGGCAGAACGGATCTGTCCTGGGTGCAGAATCCGTCCCACCATGGGGGGGGTCGGTCCTGGAGGTCACATCATGTTCCTTGATATCAGTGGGCTCCACCAAAAAATGCTCAGAAGTGATTCTGCTGCTCCTCGTCGCCTGCACAAATACTACAATACGGGGATGGACTTGCCCTTTAGTCCTCAGACACCTCCGAGGAATACCCCTGCCTCTGTAGTGCAGCTCTTGATCCCTGCTGCTTCTCGCTGTACACACCACTCAACACATACGTACCCGCTGCATTTTTGCTTCCTTCCCTCAGCCACCCTTTCCAGCCATCCACCCCGCAATTAATCAGGGCATCTTTGAACCCAAGGGCAGCCATGGTCTCATTTACCATGGCTCTACAACCGCAGAGGATCTGAGTTGGTTCTGGTTTACACTCTGTCCCAGGCCTAACTTACACCCTTTGCCCCTCAACCCCCAGCTTTTCCAGTGCACCCAGCTCATCTGCAGTATCTAGATGTCACATAAGCATTCATCCAGAGATCACCCAGCTGCTAGATGTCCCATAACTATTCACCCAAAGACCGAGTGGGACTGGGTGGTCCTAGCGAATGGCAGGACAGCTCGGTGAACACCAAAAGGGGACTCCTCTCAGCTCCGAGGAGAAGGCAATGAGGGCCACATCCACAGTGGCCAAGCAGAGGGGTGCTCCAGGCAGCAGGGCAGGGGAGGATGCAGGGAAGGGACAGGTACCTGGGCCCCAGCTCATCCTCACTGCGCCAGACAAAGTCTCCAAACTTCTCATAGTGGGAGTTGTAGTGGTGCTGGACTCGGAATGGAAGCGGAGACCTCCATCAGCGTGTTATAGGCCGTCTGCTGCTCCTTCCCACTGGGTTAGCCGTTGTAGAGGTTGTAGATTTTGTCAGCTATCTCTGGAAGGGATCAGGGGACAGGATTAATGAACAGCCAGAAGGTGCCAACACAGGAGGAGGAGGAGGAGCGAAGCCCTTGGCAGGGCTGGCAGGAGAGGCGGGCATCTGGGACGGCTGCCAGTCCCTCGGGGCTGCCTGTAGCAGGGTTTAGCGACCTGGGGAGCATTTTGCAATTCCTCAGGCTGAGCCTGCAGTGAGTGCCCTGCATGAGTGGAGCAGCCCCAAGGACTCCAGCGATACTCCACGAAGGAACAGCAGAAGGAGAGCAGGAGAGCTGCCAGCACAGGCAGACGCAGTCTTGTCCTCCTAGGTAGGGCAGGCAAGCTCTTCCCTAATCTACCAAAAATTAAAATGAAGGTAAAGGGTAGGAAAAATATGACGCCGGTGATAGCAAGACGGTACTTGAGCCAGAGATACAGCACATCACCATTGTGGGTACCTACTAAAGCCGCTCAGGTATATTCAGCAAGAGGGTGCACTCTCTGCTGTAGAAAAAGATCTCTTTTTGGAAATGAAAAATGCACAAAATCCCATTTCCTTCCTTTTCTTTAGTTTTCCCTTTGTTCATTTTCCCTGGGAATCCTTAGCAATAACACGAAACAAAGCATTAATAAAAACTTTCGTTGGTGTGCTTTTCAAAATAGAAAGCAAGCAAGAAAAGAAGTAACCTGCCTTTCACCCAGAGGACTCTTTCTAGACTTGAACGCAGCAAAGCGCTCTGGGCATAAGAACCAATGGGACTGGTTTCAAAACTGGAAAATGCAAATGTGCAAACGTGGTTGGGCTTTTATCGGTGTTTCTGTTTCAGAACCGACCCAGCTGCCGCCAGCATCCTTCCAAACACCCGGAGCTGAGTGTCCTGCACCCCGGCACGGCGAGGGCTGCCCCTCTCGCTTCTGCAAGCAGAGATCGCTCCTTTTCCAGGGGCTGTGTGTCAGCGGCATGTCAGCGGCTCCC